GTTGTCACGCAGACCGGATTATGAGCTTGCTCATGTCACGACGGTGACGTCGTCCGTGTTAGATATGATTCGCCCTCCTTACGCGGGTGATGATATGTGCGTAGTGCCGCTACGGGCTCCCGGATGCGAGGAGTTTGGATACACGGACAAGAAGTTGTCGTTGCGACTGCGTGCACGGTTGCACCGATATTCATTGATTAATAGATTGTCGTATTATAGCAACGATTTCGGCGGTAACTCCACGAATTGTTCTTCCTCACGATGGTGATTTGAAGTACTATATCCTCTATGAGGCCTTCGACACCTCACTCAGTGGTCATCTCGGTCGTATGAAGACCGACAGCTCTGTTAGTTGCCACCTTCGGTGATACAAGCTGAGCGAATGGACGAGCACATATGTGCGCACGCGTGAGACGTGTCAAAGAATTAGAACCTCTCCGAATGCGGTAGCGCCGCTGGCAACTATGCCGGTACCCTCCGGGTGTTGGCGATCCATGAGTTTTGACTTTGTGTTTGGCCTGCTAAAAGATTTGGCGGGCAACACTGATGTCGTCGTCTTTTTGTGGACCGTTTGAGTAAGATGGCTTATCTTGCGGTGGTGCCTAACACTATCGACGGAGTCGGTACAGCGACGCTGTTTATTGATCGTGCCTTTCCACAACATGGAATGCTGGAGTCAATTGACTTTGACAAAGACGTACGCTTCACTGGAAAGTTTTGGCCAACGATCTTCAAAGTGCTGGACACCAAGGTGGATATGGCAACAGTTGGCCATCCGCAGACCGATGATCAAGCTGAACGCGTGTATTGGGTTGTCGAGGACGTTCTCCGCAGCGTCTGCGCTGAGAAGCCGAGGCGCTGGAGCGCCATGCTGCCACTCGCAATTTTCGCTCAGAACAATGCAGTGCATTCATCTACCGGTTACACGCAGTTCTTCGCGAAATGACTCGTTCATCCTCGCGTCCCATTGTCGCCTCCATTCAATGTTTAGTGCTTGGAGGAGTAAGGATAGCCGAGCGGCCAGCTAATGTCAGCCCTCTCTCTGTTCGTGAAGTAGTCGATGACTTCTTGTATACCAGACTGAGTGTACTACTATATATTCGGGATGCGATGGGTGAAAGCCACGAATATGCAGACAAAAGAGGAAGAAAAATGCTGAAAACGTTGAGGTCGGAAACTTGCTTTTCTAAAAACAATCCTACACATGCAGTTTCTGCTGTCTTTATGACGAAGCTCTGTTCACGGATTACGGACCATTTAAGGTGGTGGCCAATTGGGGTCTTGCGTATATGTTTTCAAAACTGAGAAACTCGAACCCTGTGTTTCATGTGACTTTTCTTTTTCCGGGATTCAGCGAAAGTGAGCGCAGAATTGGTGGCGCCGGAGCGACGCCCTAAAGCGCTTGGCCACCCAGAAGTTAGACCAGCAACTGATTTTGGGCTCTGAGCGCAACGATCTTCATCTCTAATCTCGCTAAGCACTCTACCTCCGTAAGAAGCGACGCATTCGTATGCTCAATAGCTATGAGCCACTCGGACAGAGCGCGATAGTTCTCAACATGAGGCAGTCGGTGCACAAAGTGCCTTAAGCTCTTGAGGCCTTCCATAGAGCGGTATGCGACCCCAGCGTGATGCTCGGCGGAGTCCCGATCGCGACGGACCTCGTCCTCAAGAGCTCGACGAGCATCGCAAGTCACCGGACGGCTTTCGACCCAGATGTCGTCATCCGCCGCCAACTCGTCCGGACGAGAATGGTGATGTCCACTATCACGTGGAACGTCTTGTGGGTCGACGTCGTCGACAAGGTCAAATTATCCCAAGTTCAGCCTGCGAGCCACGCTTGAGACTCTAGTCCGATGCACCTTCGGGGTTTATCTCCTCGGATACTCCAATCTCAATCACGTTGACCGTCTCGGTCCAGTGCCCGCGCCAATAGCGTTCTTGCCTCTTTGCAAAGGTGTGTCCATGACTCACAAGCGCCCCACCAGAAGACGTGCACTTAGCGCCCAAGCTCGTCGACCTCCAGTCGACCCATGGCTCTTGGTGTTCCATCCATGGATAACAAAGGATTAGAAGTATACCTTGTATCCAAGTCTAAGATTAAGCAGCGTTTCACGCTATCAAAGTCAAGAAACTTGACACTAAGGTCCACAGGGGCCTTCGGCACCGTGACACATGTCCCCGTCGCTAAGCGAACATTGACGATGTCCTTAAACGCGCCTTAGGACCTCAGCATACAGCTGACTTCTTTCCGTGTGAAGCGTCGAACATGCTTAACCGACGCCCCTGAGTCGATCAGGACCTTCTATGGCTTCTCAAAGCCCTTCGCGGTCCTTTCCACGACCAGCAAGCCCAGCTTGCAAACACATTCCGTGTTCATGAGCACTCAACTCTTCTAGACTGGTCCCTTCTGACCTCTACCTCCTTAACGCTCAACAGAACTCAGTTCATCCCCAGTAGGCGCGGGGCGGCCTACTGGGAGTTGTGTCGTTTTCCCGCGACAAACCAGAAGACTGGTAAGAATCGGAACGTCGGTTTGATGGGCCTCGACACGCCTAGTGCAGGGGACAACCAATCCGAAGGTGACATCTGTCTACACAGTTAAAACACCGTCGGGTGTTCGATCGCTGTTTGGCAGATTGGAGCTCTGCCTTCTCTACCTCAGCATAGCTGAGATTCATCGACCCGGGCCCTCTCGACGAGTTGCTAGAGTGTGCATTCTTACCAAGTCGTGTCGACTTAAAGTTGGATTTGGCATTCAATACAACAATCAGTGCTTATTCAAAAGAAAAAGGGTGCATACAAAATACTTCCATTCTGGCCACACCAGTACCGAGACCTCCCTAGAGACGGTCACTGTTACCGCCTCGGGAAGAGAATCGGCTCCCATCCCGGCAATGAGAGCTATCAACCCTTGGACGAAGTCCACACACTCCTTCTTGCCCTGTCGGCGGCAAGGAAACGCGATCGCACGCGATATGCCTGGTTAGGCGGCGAGACAACTTGTGAAAGCTGTAGCTTCAGCTCCGTCCAGGAAAGAAACGCCGCTTCAACCAAATTGCCGCAAGTCAGTGCCCATTCTCGCGCTAGACTACCGAGCTTGAAGATAGCTAGCGTCAAGCGCTGATGCTCGGTCTGGATCAGCAAGATGATTTGTGAATGTCTTGCGCTTAAAGCTGGTAATTTTGTGACTTTACTGGCC